ATGAGACAAAAGTAATAGGAGGTTCAAAATTTGCATGAGACAAAAGTAATAGGAGGTTCAAAATCAATCAGGTGTGTAGGAATCTTTAAATTGACAATGTAGGTGACAATATCAAGTATTTGGCAGTAAAAGTTATTATTAATAGGTGTTATTATTAATAGGTGGTAAAAGACAATAAATGATAACAATTATTATCAAAATTTATTTGGTGTCTTGGAAATCACGGCATCTTTAATTAAGACTCAATCAAAATTCCACTAAACAATGAGAAATTAATAAAGTAATATAACAAAAAACAGTACCACTTGACGAGTAGTTCGGGTAGCTGTGTATTCACGTGACCCACTTTCACGTATTGTACCTCTTCCACTCCCACCTATTCGTGATGTTGACTCACTCCTTGGATACTGTTGTCCTGCTACTGATTCTGAAGAACGCACGAAACGTTCCGGTTCGCCTGCATGTTGTTCGGATTCGATTTCAATTGGAGATCGCAGAAACTTGAAATTTAGACAATCATTTTGTTTGCAAATAATTACAACAATGAAAGACTTTCCGGACAAAGCAAAATGCAGACCGGAACAAAAGACACGATGAAGCCAAAAGCGCATATTAATGCATGTTTGTTGATAATTATTTAACATAAGCTACCATAGTACCTGTGAGTGTCCGCCATTAGCTGCACTACTGCTAGCTGTAGCAGTAACTTCATAAACTGCTTGTCCAGTTTCCGGATCATGATAAATAGTTTTTTTGATTTCGTGCGTTGTGATGTCGGTGATAACACGCCTTTCGAATTGAACTGACGAACCGGATGACTCACCCGAAATGGAACCTCCATCATCCAAGTAACGTTGCAACTGACGGCTAGTTACTTCCGCTGGAGCGGTCTCATCAACCTTAGGTGTAATATTTAGGTCATTTAAAAAATGATAAATTAAAATCTTTTAAAAAGTGATGATAAAAGGTTAAATTCATGAAATTCATTAGTCATAATTATTAACTATACTTACCTCACGTCGTTTTAGTTTCGCACGTGGAATGGAATAGTAATCGGAAGTGAGAATCTCTCGGCCACTTCCAACACTTGTTTCTGGCCTTCGTCGGAAACATCTTAAGAAATATTAGCAGATTATTACAATTCTTAAAACTTCATCATTACATGAAAGACCAAATTACAACCGTAATTGAATGAAGAATACAGTACATACCTGAGCTTCGAGCAGAAATACAAGCAAAGACATAGTGATAGGAGTAAGAGTAAAATAGCCAAGATCAGGAAGAGTAACAGGAGTGTTTTGGATGGTTCGATCTCGCAAAATTTTCCGGTATAACCACCAACACATGAACATGTCACATTCTTTGTCGCTTCATTATATATGCAATCACCATGACCATTACATAAACCGCATAATTGTGCTGCACATATTCGACCAGGTTCATCCGGGTTACCATCCACATATCTATTAATTAGTTAATAAGTCACATTCATCAAAATCTGTTAGCATTGCTCAAAATCGTAGAAAGCTAACAAGGATAGAAATTAAATAACTAAAAAAAGAAAGTTTTTTTTTTTTCTCAGTACATCCAGTTCGGCTCATATTGATACTGTTGCAATAGAAAATGATTTACCTACCCATCCGGACAACGGCATTGATAGCCATTCCGCAGGTCAGTACAAATTGCTACAGCACTGCAATTGGTAAGACCAAGAGCACATTCATCGACATCCTGCAGTCGTAAACAGTAAACATTTTCCGGATAGTTAAGTTGATCACGAAACGGACTGGATCGAATATCCACGTAGCCTTCTTTGCAAATGCATTCAGCCTTAAAAAAAAAAAAAAGAAAAAAAAAGAGAAGAAAATATGTGAAAATGATGATTAAATTTGCATAAAATTCCTCCTGCTATCGCTATTTATTTTCATTTAAGCTTCTTTATGCAGCAATAAATGCGAGTTTAAATACAATGTTAGTGTAAAATCGTCATTTATGCAAATTTCTATGAGCATATCATCTGGGATGATTATGCCAATAACATTTCTATATCAGTTAGATCAAGTTTGAAAGATTTTAGTTAAATTTATTTAATTACAAATAAATTGATATCTTACCTGTGTTTTTCCATTTTGACAAGTGGTATTTGCAGGGCAAAAGTTTACATCAGCGCAATAATTGATACGACATTCCGAACCAGGTAATTTTCCCGGTGGTGCAGCATTAACATATGGTTTTATGCATTCACATCTGTAAACTTATCACATTACTTTATAGCTATATCAAAATTTAAAATATGTTTATTAGCATAAATAAGGTGAATGAATGATTATTGTTACCTGTATAGATGATCCTGATCGATACATCGAGCATGCTCATCACATTCATTCCATTCTTTCTGTTCACATTCATTTACGCCAACTAAGCTTACGCATTCACGTCCTGGTTTTGAGGGATTCAGGTCACGATGTGTATCCGGACATTCACATCTATAGAAATCTGTATTGCAAAGTATCTCTATCAAAGATATATGTAACCCTTCGGTTCGGTATTTCTAATTAAGATATTCTTCATTTCTAACATAATAATTTTTAAATTACAATCATTTTATCAGAGATCATTTAGGCAAGATTTTGATTCGGATCCGGAACTTTTAACTGGACACCTAAAATCTTATAACTTTTCTTCATGACCATTCACTATCCAGTACTTATTATTGATGTGACTGGATGATTATTATGATCGTAGTGAGTGTTCCGGAAAAAAATTTTGCAATGCTAAAACTATTTGAAACTATCAACAATTCATTAATTTATTCAAAAAATAAAAGAAGCGATGTTCATTCATATTCAAATGGAATCAACTTACGTATAACCGGTAGGAGTGGAAGTACACTTTGCATCCGGATGACAATCACTTTTATAACAGTTATCAAACGGATTTGCTTGGATTGGACTAATATATTGCATGCTTTTACCAACCTGAAAACAAAAATTGATCGATAAATGGAAGTCCTAGTATTGTTTATTTCCGGTAACGTACTGATATATATATATTTTTTAATAATGAAAAAGCATGAACTTGAGCTATTTAAAATAATGTTACCAACTTGGAAATTATTCCGCTGAGTGATATAATTCAAAAGGTCGGTAAAAACACTGGGAGGTGATGCGACACTACCGCGTACAAAGCTAACCGTGAAATTGTACAAAATTCCTTTATCCCATTGCTAGAATGAATAAATACAATTCAGTGATTGGTTAGAATGAAATTATATTATCACAATCATCAACAAAATTACTACTCGAAAGAAAAAAAAAAAAAATTCCCGTCATTGAGACGTCTACGTTCACTTTCCTCACAAATTGATCTATTTGAGGAAATCAATACTTGAAAAGTTGTAATTCTTTTACTATATATTAAATATTTAGCCAAAAAAAAAAAAAATGTTAGTCTCTGAAAGCCTAAAATATCTCAAAAGAATACGAAAAAGAATGAATTTTTTAAAAGATTAAACAAAACATTTGCATATGTTTGAATTATTAGACGAATAAAATTACTTAAATTTTAATTTCATTTTTTTTTCAGTTCATAAGATGATAAACCTTGATAAAATCACTTGGTCGAGTGATTTCGTTTACTTCAGCAATCACAAAACCATTCTTGAGCGGTGTATTTGCATAACTTTCAGCAATACCTTTTTCGAATGCATTTACCAATTCTTTGTATCGGTCATTTTGTGGATTGGCCAAATTATCGTTGTAGTTTAATTCTTCAGTATTCTGACGAATAACCCAAAGAGGTAAAGACCAGGATTCAACCTGAAATTGAAATTTCGGAAGGAACAAACATTGTAATATTAAATGATTAAGCAACAATACATGAATGGAATAGATGAACAAAAGATAAGAATCACAGATTATTTGCTATAAGAATAGAATCTTAGGCTGGAATGAATCCAAAAATTAAAGTATATTTTTTAATTAAGATAAAAAGTAAATGTAGTTGTTATTATCAGTAAAAAGAGTGAATGAGGAGAAAGGAAAAGTTGATCATTTAATTTTGTCAACCGTTAAACATTGTAAAGCTAAACATTTTCATCGTCATGTGTACTTACCGCACGGCATTTTTCGTCAGCATTTGGGCGCTTCTGTCCAGATGGACAGACGCACAACTGATCCTCAGAACAAATTTCACCAAGCTCTTCTTGACATGTCATCTCACCGCATGGGAAACCCTCTTTTCTAAATCGAATTAAGTTACTTATCTCTTTTTTTAAAAACTTTTTTCGAAAAAAAAATCTAATTCTCAAATGAAAAAGTGGGAAAGTAAAAAAAATTTTTTAATTGAATAATATTGGTAGGACCTACCGACAAATGGTACCAGGTTCAGATGGATTTTGATCGATGTAAGGTGGGATACATTCACAACGGAATCCTTCCTCTGTATCAGTACACTTTGCATTTTTATCACAATTATTCAAATTTGATGATTCACATTCATTTAGTACTGCAAATGATTTTAAACTGATAACTAATGATAATTAAAAAACTAATGATAATCAAAATGATTTTAAATTGATAACTAATGATAATTCATACAACCATGAAGGACCCATTTCGTTCGAGTTAATTAATTCTTAATTAGTTCATTTCAAGGATGCTATCAGAATTTCCTGCAGAAATCTTTTTCATATCATGTAAATAGCAATGCATGATTTTATGAATAATCAAGAAGATATATACATCATGCTATTGATTATGTTATAATCTTTGATTCTTTTCGCAATTTGTTTAAGTAAAAAGAAAAAAGGAATTAGAAATGAAGAACTCACTTAATTTGCAATCCGTTCCCGGTTTAGCCGGATTTATATCACGATAACCAGCTTTGCAAATGCATTCATAACCGTCTTCAAGATCTTTACAATCCGCAAAACGACTACAGTTGTTCAAATGTGGGTTTATACATTCATTCACCAACTATAAATTTCAGCTAACATACATTTTTCATAACCGAAAGATGTCATATTTCCATAATAAATATGTTGTCATTGTCTTTGCTTTATGAAAGATGCTTAAGACTAATGAGAAGATGAAGATAAGCATGGAAAATTCCAACAAATCATAACTTACAATGGAACATTTTCTTCCAGGTTTTTGGTTATTCACAGAAAGATCCTTGAAATCAGGTGGACAAGTACATGTATATCCTTCCTTCAAATCATTACATTTAGCTGCTGGATCGCAGTCATTCAAGGATGGATCCAAACATTCATTCACTAATTCTTTGCAAGCTCTTCCTGAAATTAAGATGCTAAAAATATTGTCATATCTTAGGGAAAGGTTATCAAGCACCGAAATATTTAACATATGTTACCATACATACCTCAATAATTACATATAGAATATTTGAATAGAAAGGAAATTTTCACCTCAAGGAGGCTTCAAAATGCAAATATGAAAATTGAAATAATTAAAAAAAGACGTTATCGATGATTTTATGAAAGGAAAAATTCATAGAATCTGAAATTCATTACGCAGAAGCTAACCAGGTTTGCTTGGATTAATATCGATATAACCATTACGACATGAACACGTGTAACGTTCCGGTTTAGCGATTTCCGTACATACAGCAGCCGGATGACAGTCATGCTTTGATGGATCATTGCAGATACGTTCCAAGCAAATACGACCTAAAAATTTAGTTTCGCAAGTTTGCATTTGAAAAATACTTCAACATTTTAATTATGATGAAATGAAAACAATTAACAGAACACAGGATGAGCTGAAGTCAGGTCAGTTTTATTTTAAAATAAATTACTTTCAAAGAAGCATTTCAGGTATTTGAAAGGTGAAGTCATTGCTAAGATATTTTATTTGGAAAAATTTGCTAGTTGAAGTTTCAAACAAACCAAGAATAATTTCACTCTCTTGAAAATACAATTCAATAGACAAAATAAGCAAAGTAATTAATTATACGATTGGTTTATTCAAACAACAAATGTATGTTTTTGTCCTAGGACTAAAGTAAGTAAGGACGGTAGTCTTGGTTTTTTGGTGGCAAAAAAAAAGATTGAAAAAATAACCTGGTTTGGTTGGTTCAGGACTTTTATCAATGTAACCAGGTTCACAGACACAGATATATTCGTTTGTACCTTTTTCGATACATTTCGCATTCTTATCACAATCGTTTTGATTTGTTACACAGAAACGATTCGCTGAAAAAAATTTGCATCTAACCTATGACCTACGACTCATCAAATTTATCTAGAAATAAATAATTAATTTTTGCAAGTTAAAAACTAACATCTTTTACAAAGGATATAAATGCAAAATAACTAAGTAAATCGACGAATAAATTAGCCAATTAAGTAACTGCAGGTGGATTTATCATTTGATAAAAGAAAGGACTGTAATGACATTTGATGAGGTCAAATTAAGTTCATCCATTTTTCCAATGAATTCATACATTTAACATTTAGAATATTGCAACTTATTACAGTACCTTGTTCACAGATTCTTCCTGGATTTCGAAGTTCATCATGATCAATGAAACCTTCTTTGCATTGACATTTGTAACTTTCCATTGTATCAATACAAATTGCATTTTTACTACATGTGTTTAATGACCTATTGGCGCATTCGTCCACTAATGGTTTACAATATGTGCCACCAAAATGTTGCGGATTTGGACTATAAACAAATGTAAATTTATCGTTTGATTTATTCAATTACCAAATTTTAAATTTACATTCTTTCTCTTTGATCTTTATGAGCAGGAAAATTTATCAAAAAAAAAATTTTTTTACTTCCTGACCTTTTTTAATCGGAAGTTGAAAGAGGCCAAGAAGTAAAAGACAATTTAGAGTGACCTTCAAGAACATAAAAAAAACGCTTATTGTCGTATGACACTAATGTCTAGACAAGAACTGTCGTTTTAGAACTTCTAGATTTTTAAATTAGATATTCCGGATGCTTATCATAATCAGCTTCCTGTAATTCTTTCACTCATAATACCGCTGAAGAAATCATTCAAGATTATCATCGATAAAAACGATCAGTGGAACAAAGGTATTGAAAGACATACCTGAAGTCCACGTAATTAGCTTTACATCGGCAAAAGTATCCTTTTGGTAAATTAATACAATCTGCATAAGCTGAACAATTGTGAGTGCCCTGAGCGCATTCATCCGTTTCTATAATTAATCAAATGTCTATCATCACTCATTTTCAGTGTTTAAATTAATTTGATAGTGAAAATTTCAGAAATCCCATCTTTTTCTAAAAAAAATTATCTGAAATTTCGAAAGGAAAAAGTTAACTTTTAATGAAGAATCTATTTACAACTGTGGAACAATTCAAAGTTCGTATTCCAAATATGATAATTTGACCTAATCTGAGTAGTATGATAACACCTATAGTATGATAACCTGAAGTAATTCAATGTTCCTATTCCAAATATGATAATTTGACCTAATCTGAGTAGTATGATAATACCTATAGTATGATAACCTGAAGTAATTCAATGTTCCTATTCCAAATATGATAATTTGA